CCTCTCCTCTTCCTCCTCCTCCTTCTTTTTTAAGACAGAGTCTTTCTGTGTACTTCTAACTGTCCTGGAACTCGACATGTAGACCAGACTGGCCTCAAACTCGCAGAGCTCTTCCTGCCTCTGCCTCTGGGGTGCTGAGATTAAAGGCATGTGACACCACACACAGCCCACATAATTTCTTCTTAAGGTATAACAAGAGTGTTGGATTTCCCTGCCCAACCCCCAGGACTTAACATGTAGAGTTAAAGTGACAGCAAAGATTTAAAAAAAAAAATATATATATATATATATATATATATATATATATATATATATATATATATTCCCCACCAGAAATGTCAAAACCATGTATTCACTCAGTATGCAGACACAAATGCCGGCAGAGTTTCAGAACTTTACAGCGTCATGATAATTATAACAAACATGCTGTACTGGCTGCTTATGGGTGTCGACCTGACATAAGCTAGTGTCAGTTAAGGAAATGCCCCCATGAGATCCAGCTGTAAGGCATTTTCTCAATGAGTGGTCAACAGGGGAGGGCTCAGCCTGTGATGGGTGGTGCCATCTCTGGGCTGGCAGTCCTAGGTTCTATAAGGAAGCAGGCTGAGCAAGCCAGGGGAAGTAAGTGAACAGCACCCCTCCATGGCCTCTGCATCAGCCCTTGCCTCCAGGTTCCAGCCCTGCATGAGTTCCTGTTCTGACTTCCTCCAATGATGGAGTATGATCTGGAAGTGTAAGCCAAATAAACCATTTCCTCCTCAACTTGCTTTTTGGTCATGGTGTTTCTTTGAAGCAATAGAAACCCTAACTAAGAAAACATACCCAGAAAGTGGGCTGAAGAAATGGCACTGTGAACTTTCTTTGTTCCTGATCGTGAAAACTTGAAGTACATTTTCTGAGTTAAAATGGGTGACCAGTACTCTGGTTCGCTTCCTTTTCTTTCTTTTGGTTTTTCGAGACAAGGTTTCTCTGTATAACAGGCCTAGTGCTTGTAGACTAGGCTGGCCTTGAACTCATAGAGATCTGCCTGCCTCTGCCTCCAGAGATTAAAGGCATGCACCACCACCAGCTGGCTTTTGTTTCCTTTTCTTTGGCTTTTCTTTCTTTCTTTTCTTTTTCTTATCTTTCTTTCCTTCCCTTTCTCTCTTTCTAGATTTATTTCTTATGTACACAGTGTTCTGCCTTTGTATATACCTACAGGCCAGAAGAGGGCACAAGATCTCATCACAGGTGGTTGTGATCCACCATGTGGTTGCTGGGAATTGAAATCAGAACAATCAGTGCTCTTAACCGCTGAGCCATCTCTCCAACCTATCTTTTTTAGTTTTTCAAGACAGAGTTTCTCTGTGTAGTCCTGGCTGTCCTGAAACTCACTCTGTAAATTAGGCTGGCCTCAAACACAGAGATACCCCTGCCTCTGCCTCCCGAGTGCTCGGATTAAAGGCCTGCGCCACCACTCACTAGAAGGACATTTTGTTTGACCTCTTACCAGTACTGCACTAATTTTTATCACACGTAGGTGAGTTAGAAACTCAAAGGACTCATTTTTTTTTAATTCAAATATCTTACATTTAGTGTACAAATGTGCAGATACTACACGTAGAGGCTAGGACGATCTTCAGGAGTAGGCTATCTTCTATTGTGTTCATTCAGGGAGCCAACTCAGGTCATCAGGCCTTGGTGAAAAATGCCTTTACCCAAAGAACCATCTTGCCAGTCCAGGACTCATTTTTCTAGCCACCTTTTAGTTGTTTTTGTATTTTATGTTGTTGACTGTTAAGTTTTTTTCGGACCGACAAACCTCTCGGCCAACACAATAATCCAAATTAGACCAAATCAGACAGAATTAGAAGATGCCTAGCTCTAATGGATGCCAGCACTCCCAGTGGCCCCCCAGGTCACCCCCTCCAACCCTCCTCCCCCCGAAAAAACATGAAGATGGGAAAAGGAGAACCAGAATGACCATGGAAAACCCTGAACCATGTGTTCATTCTCTAGGGGTCAGTTTAAATAGCCTGTGGGAGTGGTCTTGACCCTATCTGGGGAGGGGTCACCATTGGTGAGCTTTCTTGGAGGTGGAGTCTGGACTGTGGCCACTCCCAGAGGAGGGGGCTTGGAACTTTCCACCAAACATTTACCATTGCTGGGTTTTTTGTTTGTTTGAGATAATGTTTTGTTGTGCTCCTTAGGCTGGTTGAACATCTGAACCTCCTCCTCAGCCTCAGGTACTGGCATTGCAGATGTACTACCATGCCAGGCTTTATCTACTCTTTTCTTTAAAAAAGAAAAAGAAGGGGGCTGGAGAGATGGCTCAGTGGTTAAGAGCACTGGATGCTCTTCCAGAGGTTCTGAGTTCAATTCCCAGCAACCACATGGTGGCTCACAATTATCTGTAATGAGATATGGCGCCCTCTTCTGGCACGCAGGTATACATGGAGGCAGAATGTTGTATACATAATAAATAAATCTTAAAAAAAAAAAAGAAAAAGAAGGAAAGAAAGAGGTGGGAGGGGGGAGAAGGAAGGAAGAGAAAGAAAAGATCTGTAGTTTATGTGTGTTTCCCTGGATGCATTTATATGCATCACATGAAGTGCCCACAGAAGCCAGCCAGAGAAGGCACTGGATCCCCTGGAGCTGGAATTACAAGAGGTTGTGAGCTGTCATGTGGGCACTAGGGACCTGACTCCAGTCTTCTCAAGAGCAGCAAGTGCTCTTAACCACTGAGCCATCTCTCCCACCATGAATGTATTAACTTTTCATCTAAGAGAATTTCCATTTAGAGACATATCATAACGTTTAAAACAGTCTTTCAGGGTGGCTATGGCGGTGCACTTCTGTAGTCCCAGAACTCGGGACAATGAGGCCGGAAGGTTCCCAGTTTGAAGCCATCCTGGATTACACAGCAAGACCCTCGTTCAAAAAACATAAACAAAAATCCCAAAAGACAAAGCAAAACAAAAAAAAAAAAAGGTTACCATTACAATCTGTTCTTTTATGATAGCTGTCAGTCTTGACAAAGTAAGCCCTCTTTTTGAGTTAGTCTAATCATAAATGTGAACAAGGAATTTATACATCTTTTCTGTAATTTTTTTCCTTTTTGAAGAAATGTCAGTTTAACTTAGGCTTGGAAAACTGATTATTACCTTACCTCAAGTAAAGCTATTGTTTCTGTCCTGTATCTGTTATTTATTTATTTAATATAGAAGGCTATAAGCCACCATGTGGTTGCTTGGAATTGAACTCGGGACCTCTGGAAGGACAAGCAGTGCTCCTAACCTCTGAGCCAGCCCCTGCATCTGTTTTTAAGACAGGGTCTTATGTGGCCCAAGCTGGCCTGGAAGTGTGTAAGTAGGTATAACCTTGAACTTCTGATCCTGCTTCTACAGCTGGGAATGTGCTACCAGGCCCCATTTCATTCAGTTCTGCATGAATCCTGTGGTTTTGTGCAAGGAGTCTACTATTGAGCTACAAACCCACCTATATTACCCTCCCCCTTTTGCCATATACTACCATATCCAGATGGTAGAAATTGTTTAAAATACTATTATTAATCTATCATGTTGAACATAAAGAAAACCCTAAAGCTAGCTTTTGAAATGGTGGCTTCTCCTGTGACTGAATTTGGGGAGCATGCAAAGCCTTGAAAACCTGGCCCTGTGTGTTCACATGTATACATTTTCCTCTTCTTACCCAAAACCTCACTTTTGTAGTAGGAAATGTTACAAACCTAAAGTCTTCAAATTCACCAGTCAAAAAATAACTAGGGTCTAGTAAAATTGTCAAAAACATCAATTGATTTTAATGCTAGAAAAATATCCACGCTAAACTGACTTACCACTTATATTTTATTTATGGCTTTTGGGCATCCTAGAATGTATCTATAGAATATTCTTTCACAGAACTTTAAAAATTTAGTCACTTTGCCCTCACTTGCAAATGGATAATCATACCTAAAATAATCTAAATCAAGTGTGCTTATCGGATTGTATTTTATAAGCATTGTCTGAATCCACTTGAAGGGAACTTTGAAAGGATATTCAAACTCAAAACCTAGGCTTCTGCTTTATCTGGCTACTGCTTCTAGTCAGCTCTTTCTAGTTTCAAAATTTGCATGGCTGCCTTTCTGAGTTTGCTTCAAGAATCAGTCTTAACCCATGCAGGAATTGCTCGAACTCGGAGGCCTCAGGTTCGGATTTATTTGCATCTTTGCCACTGCAAAGTCCATCCTTTTAACGAGGTGTGAGCCCGGCCGGCTGGCGTTCGCGCTCCAGCGCCGCCGCTCACTTTAGTGATGGTGCAGTGCCCAGCATCTGGGTCCTCTGAGCTCGTGCCTCCGACACGCCACCGACTTCTGGGCGTTGTTGTTTTCATTTCAGTCCTCCGAGCTTTCAAACGCACACAGCGCCGTCCTCCACCTCCGCTCCTCGCCCCCTCGGCCCGGGACAAGTAGGCGCGGTTTTCCCGTTCAGAGAGAGATCCACGTCATCCGCGCAGGCGCAGGCTCCAGCCGGCGGGAAGGGGCTTGCGCTGGCCCGCGGTAAACAAGCATTGCGCCTGCGCCCCGGGCCAAGGTTTTTTTTTTTTTTTTTGTCTTTTGTTTTGCATAGCAAAAAAAAAAGGTGGGGGTGGGGCGGAGGACGCCGAGCGAACCCGCGTCTCCTAGGACGGCGAACTAGCTGGCTTTTCCTGCTTTATCTGTTTCTGTGCGACCATGGAAGCCAAAATCCGACACAACTGTCGGCCGGAGCCACCACACTGAGGCTGAAAGGAAGAAAAGACATCTTTTTCTCTCCCTAAGAGGTGGTGGGCGGTCCCCACAACGCCACATTAAAAACCTCCCTAGCTCCGGCCTTTCCCCAGACAACGCGAGATCCTGTGCCAAGACGTGACTTCACACACCCCGCCCCCCTCCCCGAGATCCGTGCGCCTGCGTGCGGCGTTTTGGCGCGCAAACGGGTTTCAAAACTTCCTGCTTGGTCACAGGTGGCCAAATCCGGGCCCCTGTGGCGTGTCTGTCAGCGTTCAAGCCCAGAGCACCCCAATTTTAGGGATTTTTCGTTCGAAATTCCACTCGACTGTAGCTCGCCCTCTCTTTCCTGTTCTTTGACGGGTCATGAGTTCTTGAGAGGTTCCAGCGAATCAAATAGCCAGAGCGGGAGTGGGCGAGCCCATCACGGTTTTACAATAAAATGTTGAGTTTTAGTTGTATAGAGTGATATCTCTGCGAGCAGCATAAATAAATAAGTCTGAGGGGCGGAAGGTTTTTTTTTTCCTTGAAGACCTTGAGAGGCTGTGAAAGTGGACCGAGGGAATACAGAGGGATGAAGATGGGAAATTTTAAAGATGGAAGAGGTAAACGAAGACAGGACCACATGCTTGAGAAATGAGGCTAGAAGGAACCTTTATAGGAAGCTTAGCCTATAGTGTCTGTGCGTATTTATAAATAAGGCAGACATGCCGTTTGGTCTATGGCAGCAAATAGTGGCACGGGAGTGCATGACTGAGTGAGACAAAAACATTTCTAACAGGGTTATGAGCAAGAGCTGGGGTTGGCCCGGGGTCGAACAGGTAATAATCTGGAGCATGGCATGTTGGCAGTGTGGGGCGTCTCTGACCTGGCCTCTTTTCTCTCCCAGGGCACGTGGAACACCTGCGCAAACTGGATTTTTGCCCTACAACGTCTCAAAGGTACCTTCCAGAGCCTGAAGAATCCCATCAACCTCACCCTTCATCCAGAATGAAATTTAGCTTACAAGTTATTCAGATACGTCACTTGCTCATCCCAAGATTACATATTCCTAGTCTGTAGCCTGTCAGTTCTATAGGTCTTCGAATCCACCTTAATACAGTCAGGATTCAGCCATTCCTTATTAACCCCCAGCGATTGCTTCCAGGTTTTTGCAGGGATTCCATGATGCTCAAGTCCCCTCTGTAATAAGGTGTGCTATTTGCATGGAAGCTGTGTTCACCTTCCTGGAAACAATCTCTAGGTTACTTGTGACATGTAAGTAGCTCCTGCTCTGTATTGTTTAGGGAGGAACGGCAAGAAAAGCATTCAGGACAGTTGCAAATTTTTCTTCTCAGGATTTTTTTTTTGTCTGCTTTTTGACTGAATTTGAGGATGTGAAACCCGTGGATGGGGGGGGGGGGTCTGACTTTCTCCCTCTGTATGAAAGAGTTATCTCCCTGAATTCATCATGACTGGCCTCAATGGGCTCAAAATCTAGGCCCAGGCAGTCCTCTTCAGCTTCCCTAGTAACTGACACCGTAGGTGTGTGCTGGGTATGGTTCCGAATGCATTTTAATCCTTTGTATGCTCTATAGAGTAAATGTAGGAAGACTGATGGGGTCCCTCGTAAGGCCCAACAGAAGAGTAGCCAGCCGATAGATGAGCAATATTCCTTCATTTGTAAGACAGCAGAAATGGAATGCTTTGGGATTAAAGCTGGCAATGATGGAGAAAGATCTAGTTAGAGGAAAATGCTTGGGAACCAGATAAAGAGTCATACACTTAGAGTCTCAGCTACCCAAGGAGGCTGAGAGCGGAGAACTGTTCGAACCTAGTTAGGAAACAGCCTGGTAGGTGGATGGAGAGAGGAAGGGATGAGGGAAGAAAGGGCCAGATATGGTAGACCCTACTAGGAAGTTCTCCCTAGGGCACTGTATTTTGGCAGACTGTATTCTGTCCTGTAGGCTGTATGTGCTGAATTCCCAGGAAAATGGAGGAGAAATTTATGGATACAATAGAAGAGGATTTCTGAGTTGGAGCCTAGATACTTGGTTAGTGAGTGGGATCATCCACCATTTTTTGTATATTATATAGTATACAAACTGTTTAGAGGTACTAGGGAGATGGCTCAGTGGTTTAGAGCACTGACTGCTTTTCCAGAGGACCCGGGTTCAATTCTCAGCCCCTACATGGCAACTCACAATTGTCTGTAACTCCAATTCCAGGGGATCTGACACCTTCACACCAATGCCCATAAAATAAAGGGTTTTTTTTTGTAAGTATTACAATAAAAAGAATAAGATTAAGAGTATCTTTTTAAACAAGATTACTTTATTGCCTGTGTAAGTGTTTTGCCCGCATTATATGTTTGTGCGCCATTGTGTTCCTTGTGCCCTTGGAAGAGCAGCACTGCTCTTTACTACTGAGACATTTCTCCATCTCTCCAAACTTTTCCTAAAGAATTAGTGTAGTGACAAATGTGCTACTGTTGGAAAGACTGTGATTTAACAGCATAGAACTTAGCGTCTCGTATATGGAGTTTCTTTCCTGGACAACATTCATGCTTGCAACCTACCCACTGAATTGTGGGTACTGAATGGAGCGTAAGTCTGTCTGTACTGGACAGCCTTGAGACAGGCTCTTTATCTTGTTTGCACATAGAATTATCTGGGGAGCTTTGAAAGATTCTGATGCCTGGCTTTACCCTAGATCAAGTAAATCAGAATGTCTGGGAGTGGTGCTCCCAGATAGCAGTATTTTTTCTTTTCCTTTTTTAAAAAGACTTTTAGATTGATTTAGTGTTCGTGTGCACATGTGTATGTATGCTCGTGTGCAGAGGCCACAGAACAACTTGCAGGAGTTGGCTCTTTCCCAATATCACATATGTAGTCAGAGGTTTCCAACTCAGGTCATCAGGTTGGCCAGCAAACTTGTACCCGCTGGGCCATTTCAGTGGCTCAACATCAGTGCCTTTTATCTTTATGATTGTTGTGTAAGTGTTTGTATATGATGTATGTGGATGCTTTTGCCACAGCGTTCCTGAGAGGACAACTCTGTGGAGTCCATTCTATTCTGTGGGTTCCAGAAATGGAATTCAGCAGGTTAGGTTTGCTGTGTGGGGCAGCAAGTGCTTTTACCTGCTGAGCCATCTCTTTAGCCCATCAGTATTTTTTTTCTTTTTTTGAAAGATTCTTGTGCCAAGTGCTGGGATTAAAGGTGTGCGTGTGCACTACTATTCCCAGGCACCATTGTTATTTTTCTTGTGTGCACTACCATGCCCAGACTCCACTGGTATTTTTTTTTTTTAAAGCTCTGGTTTTTTGTTTGTTTGCTTGTTTTTAACTAAGGTTGAGAACCACCGCTTAAAGCGTTCCCTCTAGAAAATGAAAAAACTAAGATCCATGTCTTAAGACCTTCTGATCTGCATAGTTATACATTTGAAGATTTTTCTGGAGGGATAGAGGCAAGAGCAGAGGCCAAGTCATTAGACGTACAGTTGGGCACAGAGAGGTAGATTGTGGAGGGAAGGCACTGAAATAAGCACACTAACTGGGGAGCAGTTAGTGTTGTCATTACCATGGATGCCAGAAACATACTGAATTTGCTGTATGGAAGACTTTGAACCTCCCAGGCTGGCCCTTTGATGTAGCACAGGCAACACAAAAGATGTCTTGGTTTCCTTGCCACCTGGAGCTGTTGTGCTCCATTGATCAGGGGAGGCATGATTAAAGTGTGTTTGCGCCCACCCGGGTGGTCTTCTCTTCTGAGAGGGCAGGTGGGAATGCTTCCTTAGCAGGCATCGATAATGAAGCCTTTCCATAAGCCTATCAGAGGGATAAGGTGGTTCTGACCACACCAAAGGTTTTGTTGTTACTGACAGACACGAGAAGAGAGAGGTTTAAGCCTATCTTTATAGCCTTTCTCAGTGAAAACAAAATTACTTGGGGATGGGAAATGTCTGGGAGAGAGATTTCTCCTCTTTTTGGGTTCTTCTGAGTTATCTCCGCAGCCCTGGACATGATCATTGATTAGGGCCTGTGTTTTACAGAATCAGGCAGACATACTATGAAAGATAGTACTTGTGCGACAGGCAGGCATATAGGAGAGGTTTGTGTCTGGCTCACGTAGTTCTTTTTTAAACTTTAATTGATTTATTATTGATGAGTGTGATGTGCCTGTGGGCTTGGGTGTGGGGGTCAGGGGACAGCTTTTCTCACCTTTGTGTAAGTTCCAGAGCTCAAACCCAGGCTGTCAGCTCCTACTGCACGTTCCTCACTGAGCCGTCTCACCCCCATCAGGTGCTTTTTATGAGTTTGAGCGAGCCAAAGACAAGTAATGCGTGAGGTTCGTGACTAATTTTTCCATCTGCTGGAGATCACCAGTGCTTTTGCATAGGGGGCAAAATAAGAAAAAAGATAGGTCCAACTGGAAAAAAAGCTGCAGTTAGGAGCTTTGGGTTTATAGCCTAGGGGTAGAACACATGCTTAGCAATCATTGAGCCCTTCATTCGACCATCCTGACCATCCGCTCAAAACCTGATGCCTCCTGCGCCTCCCAGTTAGCAAAAGACTGGTAGTTTTGTTTTCTTCCTTTTAGATGTAAAAAAAAAAAAAAAAATCTATTGGCCCTTGTTCAGAGTTTTCATGCTAAACCAATGTGAAGTTCTGGTTCTTCATATAAGGGTGTCCAGGCCATCTTTCTGCTTCCTTAGGGGATGTTAGAAATAGGATTCTAATGAGAGTAGCTTCCTTAGGTGCAATAGACTTCTCTTTGTAATGAATTATTTTTTTTTTCTCTACACAAAGTATTTGGGGACTGGCGCTGTGAAGATTGGGGTTAAGTTGTGCCTGCCATGATTGGAGTTGCAGCTTCCTATACCAAATGAAGTGTCTGTCATCTGCAAGTGTGGCAGCTAGCTAATGACCAGATCTGAACAAAAGACTTGCTCAAGCCACCGCTGACCCGGCTGATATTAGAGAACTTTAGTCTGTGATAATCTAAAAGTCCTAAAAAGTGTAGACAGCCTCAGGGACTCTCAGCACTCTGGGGACCAGGGACGGTTCAGAGGGAGGTTGCCAACGTGATACAGGGCAAAGACAAAGGCAAGCTTTAGCGTCTCTCTTTCTAGCAAGAGCATTGGCAAATGGCTAAGCTCTGTCGGGGTTAGGAGGTCGAGTCCAGAGACCGCAGAGACACAGTCATAGACGTACAAAGTAGCTATAGAACAGACTCTGCAGGGAGGAGTAGATTGGGATGGAAAGATAGGAGTTGGGTGAAGAGAAGCAGACCGAAGCTTACACAAACCTCAGAAGGGGTTAGGGTGATGTAGCTCAATTGGTAGCCTGTGTGACTAGCACGCGTGAAAGCCATACATTTAGTCCCCATAATTAGCGATGCACAGTGAGTCCTCAAGGCTAGCCTGGGCTTACATGAGGCCTGTCTCAAAAACGAAATCAAAACAAAGACAATATTTCATTTAGTAGTGTCTTTTAAGTAAATATGTCCAAGTAATGGTTTTTAATTTTAAGTAAATATGTCCAAGTAATGGGTTTTAATTAGGGATAAAAGGATCAACAAATACAAGATTTTTTTTTAATTTATTTTTATTTTTTTGAGACAGGGTTTCTCTGTTTCTCTGTAGCTTTGGAACCTGTCCTGGAACTTACACTATAGACCAGGCTGGCCTTGAACTCGCAGAGATACCCCTGCCTCTGCCTCCCGAGTGCTGGGATTAAAGGAGTGCACCACCACCGCTCAGCTTACAAGATTTTTTTTTTTGTTTTATTTTTAAAGTGTTGATACTGCAACACGATTGCTCTTTTATTTTTTATTTTATTTTGTTCTTAGATTTATTTATTTTATTATGTATACAGTGTTCTGCCTGTATGTATCCCTGCAGGCCAGAAGAGGGTACCAGATCTCATTACGGATGGTTGTGATGGGAATTGAACTCAGGATCTCTGGAAGAACAGTCAGTGCTCTTAACTGCTGAGCCACTTCTCCAGCCCCTTACAAGATGTTTTTAAAGGAACAGTGGAAACTAAAAATTAATTTGCTTTAGGATAATACCCACATTCACATTTGTTTAATATGCCAGAACATAAAATTAGTGAACACCTAGCTGGCTTTAAAATTTTTTAATTCTGGGGGCGCTGGAGAGATGACTTGGCAGTTAAGAGCTATGGAGGATCTGGGTTGGATTGCCAGCACCCACACCATGATTCACAACTGTCTGTAACTCAAGTTCCAGAGGATCTGACACCTTCAGGTCTTCTTGGGTACTAGGTGTGCATATGGTACACAGACACATGCAGGCGTAATACTTGTAAAATAAATTTTAAGAAAATTTAATCCCAAACATTGGGATTAAAGGTGTGTGCCAGTACTCTCTGGCCTCTAGTGGCTTAGTTTTGCATTCTGATCATCAGGCAAGCTTTATTTATTAAAATACAAATAAAATAGCACAACAAGAGGTTGTGTTTCTGACTCTTTCCTGCTCCTGGAACCCTTTTCCTCCTACTGGTTGCTTCCTCCAGCCTCGATATGAGGATTTGTGTCTTGTCTTATTGCATCTTGTTATGCCATTCAGTTGATACTACTGAGAAGCCTGTTCTTTTCTGATGGGAAACAGGAACAGTAGATCTGGGAGAGAAGTGGGGATTGGGGGAAATGAGAGGTGTAGAGGGAGGGGAAGCTGTGGTTGGTCAGGATGTATTGTATGAAAGAAGAATTAAAAAAAACCCAAAACAATAGTTTGAGAAACTAGTCTGGTTTTGGAGTGGACATGACAGAAACTGTCAAACCTAAACCACGGAAGCAGAAGACAGAGAACTTAAAACAGACAAATATTTTAATGAATTTCCCAGGCACAGTTGGATAGTGGTTTTCTTTCCCTTAATGTTTGAAGCAATTGGGAAGACTCTTTTCATTTTGAAATTGATTGTATTTACTGTGTGTGTATCTTTGTGTGCACATACACACCAGGGTGCGTGTGTGGATGTAGTCATTTCTCTCCTACCACAGGGGTTGTGAGGCTTGAACCTTTACAAACCGTCCTGCTTCTGTCTATTAAAAGGATTAGTTACTCAGTTGTTCAAGCCATTCACTTATTTTGGTTGGAAGTTTGAGGTAACAGTAGGCGAGAATAGTGTTTTGTTTTCTTTTTAATGATAAAGCCTTTGTATGTAGCCCAGGCTGACCTTGAACACAAGATCTTTCTGCTACACAAGTGCTGAGATAATAGACCCAAACCCTTGCTGACGGTGGGTTTTGTTTATTTGTTTTGAGACAGAATCTTGTTATGTATCCCAGGCTGACCTTGAACTTGTCTTCCTGCTGACCAAATGCTGGTGTAGGTTGGTAGTGCCACTCCCAGTTTAGTTGTTCTTGGTGCTACACATCTAGAGCCTAGCTCGGTGGCACATGACTGTAATTCCAGCAATTTAGAAGGCTGAGGCAGGAGGATGATAAGTTTGAGGACAACCTAACCTAAACAATATTCAGCTTATGAGAGAATTTCCTAGATGAGGCAAATATTAAAATTAAGAGCTGGTTTTCTGAAGGCGTAAGTCACAAACAATGCCACACCAGTTTGGAATTATGATTAATAGGGTGGTATTTATTTAAAGGGGAAAAAACTTACAGGTCACCGTCAGCCCTCTACGCAACCAGGAAGGGAGTCTAGTTGCTGGCAGAGCAGGAAGTGAAGAGAGAGAGCAGAGGGAAGTGGCCGCTTTTTTAAATGGAGAGAGACCACGCCCCAATGGGCTGGTATCTCAGCGGCTATAGGCTGGAGGAGTGGGAGGACCTCCTGCAACAGTTTTCTAACTCTTATAGTTGAGTATAGGGGCATCTACCTGTAAACCCAGCATCGGGAGACAAGGGTAGAAGGACCATGAGTTGGAGGCTAGCCAGAACTATATAGCAAGAGTATTCTGAGTCTTATATAAAAAAAGAATTAGCATAGCCTTTTCATAAAAGAGAAGTAGAAAATACAGGGCTAGGGAGATGACTTGGTCAGTAAAAGGGCTTGAGAACCCAGTGGCTCTCTAGCACCCACGTTAAAAACTGGAGTGGCTGACTGGCCAACCTAACCAAATCATTGAGTTCCAGGTTTGATGAGAAACAGACCCTGTCTCAGAAAATAATGAGGAGAGATTAAGTGATTGAGGAGAGATTCAATGTCAACTTCTGGTCCTCACACAGATGTGTATGTGTGCACCTGTATACACACACACACACACACACACACACACAGAAAGAGAACTTTATCTTTAGCTGTGGACATTGAGCCAGGAAGGAGCGCTCTCTCTCTCTCTCTCTCTCTCTCTCTCTCTCTCTCTCTCTCTCTCTGTTTTGTTTTCTGAGATAGGGTTTCTCTGTGTAGCACTGACTGTCCTGGAACTCACTCTGTAGACCATACTGGCCTTGAACACACAGAGATCCACCTGGCTCTGCCTCCTGAGTGCTAGGTTGAAAGGTGTGCACCACCACAGTCTGTCTGTTGCGGGAGGTCCTTCCGCTCCTTCAGCCAATGGCCGCTTTTTTAAAGAGAGAGACTACGCCTTTGTTTGTATTCTTAGGGAAAACTATTAAGTTACATGTCAACCAGTGAAACAAGAATATAGCTACACATTTACATTATTATGTTTTAAAAAAGACTTTTAAATTTTATGTACACAACTACTCAAATGTATGTGCGCCATGTTTGTGTCCGGTGCCTGTGGAGGCCAGGAGGGTGTCAGATCCACTGGAACTGGAATTACAGGCCATTTTGTAGGTGCTAGGAACTGAACTTTGGTCCCCTGGTAAAGCAGCAAGCCATCTCTCCAGACATTTATTCTCAGAGAGAGAGGAAGGGAGGGAGGAGTGTGTGTGTGTAGGTGTGTAGGTCATAGGACAAGTATCTGACATTTGTTCTGCATGTTGACCCTGAGAATGAATTTGAGTTGTCAGGAAGGGCCTTTACACCCTGAGCTGTCTTGCCAGCCAGGGAATAGCTACTTTAAATTCCCGATTTGGGGTAATCCTAATGCCCTTCAATTTCTACCTGAAGTGATGTTTAAAAATCAATTTAGTAGTCTGTGTTCAAATTGTATTTTTTATTTTACCTGTAAAAGGGCAAAGTATTTGCAAACTGGTTCTCCTGGTCAACTTCAGACGTATTTCATACATATCTCTGCAGTAGGCTATTAGGAATTACGTGAGTGGCTTCCAAAAGGCCACTTCCATGTGGTCTCAAAGAGAAATGCCCTTTTTTGTGTGCTTCCCACCGTGCTGTGGAAGCAGTCCTTAGATACTCTACATAGCTGACATCTTCAGTAGATTTTTAAGGAAGGAAGCGAGGGAGGAGGGGAGAACTTTTACTGTCTTAGTGTGACGATGGGTCCTTAGAATTCTGGCAGTGTGTAGGGTCTCAGCAATCCAGTCAGGAAGAAATCCACAAGGTAGATTTGGTTCTGCAGATGCTAGCCGAAAGCTCTTCAACAATTAGGTTCTTTTTCCTCTTTCTTTAGACTACAGAGTCCCATGGCGACCGGTTTGGAAAGCAATAGTCCCCTTCAGCAGTTACCTAGTACCATGGCAACCAGGACGTCAGCAAAGCTGGATAGACCCACACAGAATAGCTGCAACCAGGCTTCTGTCCTGCCTCTTCAGTTCAGCTCTGCCTGAGGCCCACTGACGGAGCCAAAAACATCTCGGCTCGTACACCCCAGCATTCCTGTGTGTTGATGCAGATTTTCCCACAAGTAGAGATGAGGGAACACATGTATAGTACACTATATCTTGAAATCTCCCCCAAAACAAACAAAACAAAAACCCCAAAGAATGTATTTAAGAGGTAAGAGTGGGGGATGTTTGCAGGATGGGGACTAGAGAGCAGATGTGGAATTAGTGAAATTAAATTATTTCTCCCAAATAAAATAATTTGACAGTAGAGGAAGTTAGAGCCCTAAGTACATGGTGTGGGTTATTTATATTTAAATATTAAAAAAAGCTTCAGGGAAAAGCCTTAAAAATATTTTTATTTACCTGAAATAGAGAAATGGCTTTAAGGAGGGCTGAAGGGAAGGTAATGCTGTCCGTGGTGCTGAATACTACATTGCCCAGCTGTGCTCTTGAGGGTGCCCCCAAGATAGAGTAGGCGCGCATAGTCACGTCCGGATGCTGGTAACAGAAAGGGAATGAGGGATCGGAGAGAAAGCTTAATCTTCCTCTGGGAAGCAACTGGGAAAGCTCAGGATGAAATTACCTGGTGAAAGAAAGGAAAGTGAAGAAGGCTGGAGGTCTGTGGGCTGATCGTGCCCTTTTCATATGGAGATGTTCTGATCAGAGCCAATCGGGTCAGAGATTTCTGCTGCTTTGCTCCTGAAAAGAGAAGTGGGGGAAGGGAGAGAGCCGATGGCCACATTTCCCCCCAAGCCACATGATCCATTCCCCATGTGACACATTCCAGAGCCTTGGAAAGGAGAAGGAGGGGCCCCCCCGAGAGTGGGGCTGGGGGTGGGAAGATGGTTTAACAGTCAACCCAGCACAGCGTCATCTTGTCTCCTACCAGGAAGCAGGCTGTGAGCTGAGGGAAGGCAGAGGACATGAATGTGTTCGGAGGGTTTCCTGGTGGTTTATGGGATCTTCCAGAATCCTGTCTGAGAGCTGCTCCTGACCAAGAAGACCTACAGAGACTGTCTCTGAAATCAAGTCCCCATGAAGGTATGTGCTCGAGATCGCTCTATCACAGCTGGAATGTGGCTCGGAGGACACAATACCTTCTCTCTCTTATTTTTTCCGGGAAATTTGGAGATTTTATGGGTTTAAATGCTCATCAGGGGCATTACAGGTTCAAAAAGATGCTTAGGTAGTTCTGTAAAATAAATATTCCAGAGTAAGTACCTATTGAGGGGAAAAATTATTGTATATAGTAATTGGTAATAAAACCATAAACTCATTGATGAAAGGATTTCTCCCTGCTTAATCCCGGAAGGGTCTTGGGGAATCATCACTCAGAAGAGCTAGGTTTCATTGCCTCTGTTAGAAAATCCCATTCATGCCTGTGAGCTGCTCTTCTGTGCCCAGGTTACTGGCAGTAGCTTAGGGAGCCTGGGTGGATAGTCCTGTTATTCCTTTGTGCTGTTAGCTCATCCTCCTGATTTCCCTGATAACCAGGAGCACCAGTGATTGTCCCCGAGCTCTGTTTTAGGACCCTAGACTGCCACAGAACTCCACATCTTATGGGAAGCTCTTACAGGAATCTGCCAGATTTAAAAGCTAGAATCTGCCATGCACTCATCTTGGTTTCTTCCAGTCTTTCAACTGAGCACAAAGAGAAGAGCTAGCAAATATACATTTCATTTCATCTAACAGATACTTGAAAAAGTTCTTATTCTGTGTGAGCCATGATTCCAAGCATAAGTAATCATTAATCTTTTCAGAATACAATTTAGAGATAAACCCAGGGACAGAGGAGTTAGTTCAGGAGCTATTCTACGGTCACTTAGGTAGCATATAATAGAACAAAAACTGAATCTCAAGACTCTTGATCTTGAAAGTCCTCATTCTTAACCACTGAGCTATGATGCTTGCCGTCTTGTGTTATCTGAAATGATGTCAACAGTCTATAGAGCTACAAATTTTGTTCAGCTGACGCTACTAGAAGATTGAGTCAGCTTGCTTGGCTAAAGCAGATCTCCAGTGAAATCTATATTTAATTTTGAATTATCCCAATAGTCATGTTCTGTACCCCCAAATAACCCAGTAAGTAATTGCCTGTTCTCTCCATCTTGAGCTGCATAAATACCTAGTAGTAAAACATGATGTTACTATGGTGATCACTGATGTATAAAGGAAAAAAGATAAATCTGGAATTATGTTATGGTTGAGTTTTTAAATCAAACCTAGAAATATTCTTCTATCCTCAGAACCTAGTAACAAGCCCAGTCTAAGCATATTGCTTTCATCTGATTCTTAAAAAACAATGAATATATCCTGTAAGCCTAGCACCAAGAAAGGAAGAGTGCCATAAATCTGAAGCCTGCCTGGGCTGCAGGGTCAGACTCTGTCTCAAAAAAGAAGAAAACCTTAAAAAAAATTATTAACTATGATGCCTGACTGCGTTTGTTGTTTTAAAATAATATGCTTTTAAAGCAAGGAGATCTTTCTTTGCAAATTATCTTAGTTTTTTAAGGGTAAAAGAAAATTGCTAGCTGGGTGGTGGTGGTGGTGCATGTCTTCACTTGGGGGGCAGAGGAAGGTAGATCTGTTAGTTCAAGGCCAGCCTGGTCTTCAGAGTAAGTTCCAGGACAGATCCTGAGAAAGTGTCTCAAAAAAATCAAAAATAAATAAATAAAAATTGCGAATACTTTTTTTATAAGTTAGGAATTTCTGGTGCTGGGGAGATGGCTCAATGAATAAAGCGGTTGGCGGGTGTGAGGTTCTGAGTTCAGATATTTAGCACTGAACTTGAAAAATAAAAATTGAGTATGGTTATGTGTACCTGTAATCTCAGCACTAGGAGGCAGAGGTAGGAGGGTCTTTGTGCTAGTCAGCCTTGACCTCTGTCCTGCATGGGTATGAACACACACACACACACACACACACACACACACACACACGGATTTTCTCACTGTGAGTGGTTGACAATGCCTCACAGGTGAGGAGTTAAAGGATAACTAAGTAAAAGAACCACCAAGAATTGAAGGATAGCCTGAGCTACAGAGTAAGCCTCTGTCTTATAAAAACAAATATAAAAAGTAAAAGATTTTCCCCTTGATCTGTGTGGGTTTCCTTCTGTTCTTATTCCTCCACGCTGTGGAAAACTGAAAGAGGTGCTGGGTCTAAAACATAAAGTGGAAAGATAGGCAGCAAGCTCAGATTTGCAAACTTTTTTTTTCAAAACATTGTGTTTTCCTCTAGTAGTTCATTGCAAAGCACTTCGAAGAGTAGTTGTTTTCTCAGAGACAGACATTTCTCTGGGACAGGTAACTTGAAAAGTGACCTAGTGAATGACAAACTCTTGGTGCACATATGTGAACCTGCAATGAGAAGACTCAAAACTCTCAGCAGCATTCTGCTGGAGCTAATTTTGGGGCCTATGTCTATTTTTTTTTTTGTTGTTGTTGTTGTTTAGTTAGTTTGCTTTCTGAAATAGGATTTCATGTAGCCTAGATTGGCTTCAAACTTTCCATGTAGTTGGCATGAGCCTTGAGGTGATCCCCTTTGCCTCCCCTTCCCAATCCTGGGATTATAGGCATGTACTACCATGCACTGCCATGCCCAGCCATGCACCACTATGCCCAGCTCTCTGCTGTAGGAAGGCCGCTTTTTTTGTTCCTGGCTGCTCAGCCCCGAAATAATCACACAGAAACATATTATTTGAAATACTGTTTGCCAATAGTTTAAGCTTATTTTTGGCTAATTCATATCTTAAATTAACCCATCTGTATTAATCTGTGTATCGCCATGAGGCTGGGGCTTACCGGATAAAGTTCCAGTGTCTGTCTCTGTCAGGGCTATATGGCTTTTCTTGATTCCACTTCTTTCTCCCAGCATTCAGTTTAGTTTTCCCTACCTAGCTCTATTTTACCCTGCCAGGCCCAAGACAGATCCTTTATTAACTAATGGTATTCACAGCATATAGAGGGGAATCCCACATCAGCTCTGAGTCTATTTTGCTATGGAATAATGCTCTTGTACACTGTAAAGATTTGTCACTCATATTTGTTTAATAAAATGCTGATTGGCCAGTAGTTAGGCAGAAAGTATAAGTGGGGCAACCAGACTAGGAGAATTCTGGGAAGAGGAAAGGCAGAGATGCAGTCGTCATCAGAAGCAGATGAGAATGCCTTATTGAGAAAAGGTACCAAGCCACATAGTTAAAAATAAATGAGAATTATGGGTTAATTTAAGTTGTAAGAGCTAGTTAGTTAGTAATAAGCCTGAGCTAGTAGGCCAAACAGTTTATAATTACTATAAGCTTCTGTGTGTTTATTTGGAACTTAATGCTGTGGAACAGGGTCTGACAAAAACTTCTATCTATACTATTTTATTTGCATATATTTATAGTAAAGCAGCAAATATACAGTAAGAAGTTGGGAGCAGTCAAACTGTACTTGGCATTTAAGTATGTTAGGCTCATTGTGAATCAGAGCTCAGCAGTGTTCTTAAATCCTTCCCTGGGCATCACTGGTCCTCCTCGGACTTCACTGTTCTTAAGATGAAATCCTCCTAGTGTATTGTGGGGAACTGGATGGGGACAGCCCCAGCAGTCTCAAACTCTGCTCAGATGCTCTGTCTAACACCTGCATTAACCCCTTTCTCATATATTTCATTCTGACAACAAATCAGTAGGTACTGCAATTCTATTGATGAGAACAATAAGCCCAAAGATAATTAACTTGCCAGCAGCTATATGGATTGTGAGCTTTAAGACCAGACAGACTGGCTCTGAGCATTTTTTTCACATTTAGCATTTGGGGGCAGATAATTCTTTGATGTTCTTGTAGAATGTTTAGCAACGTCCCTGGATTCTACCTACCAGACAGCAGTAACACACCCCTTTGAACCCAATGTCTCTAGATGCCATATGTCTTCTGGGAGGAAAAGTTGTTTCCACCTAAGAACTGCCAGACTGAAGCCCCAGTGCTCAGCCCATCTTTTACAGTCTCTTCATATTCAAAATGTACAGAGTGCCGGCAGGGTGGCTCAGCCAGTAAAGGTGCTTGTTGCTGGACCTAACAATCAGAATTGGATCGCTGGGACCCATACAGTGGAAAGAAAAAACAGTCTCTTGTAAAAATCGGACGTGGGTGCACACTTGTAATCTCAGGATTTGGGAGGCAGAGGTAGAAGGATTAGGAGTTTAAGGCTACATTTCAAATTTGGGGTCAGCTTGGGCTATGAACCCTTGTCTGAATAAATAAAATACAAGAACCTAAAAAAATAATAAGATGGGGCTGGGGAGATGGCTCCGAGCAGCCCTGGCTAGCTGTTCTTCCAGAGGTCCTGAGTTCAATTCTCAGCAACCACATGGTGACTCACAACCATCTGTAATGAGGTCTGGTGCCCTCTTCTGGCATTCATTCATATATGCAGGCAGAACACTGTATACATGATAAATAAATAAATCTTTTGTTTAAAAAAAGTGAAAAATAATAAGATAAAGAAGTTTAGGGGTGGGGCTGAAGAGATGGCTCAGTGGTTAAGAGCATTGCCTGCTCTTCCAAAGGTCTTGAGTTCAATTCCCAGCAACCACATGGTGGCTCACAACCATCTGTAAAAAGGTCTGGCGCCCTCTTCTGGCCTTCAGGCATACAGACAGGATATTGTATACATAATAAATAAATAAATATTAAAAAAAAAAAAGAAGTTTAGGGGTCTCAGTCAAGTAAAGCACTTGCTTCTCAACTAGGAAGACCTGAGCTAACTCCCTGGCACCTGTGTAAGAATGCTGGGCATCGCGGATGTAATCCCCGTGCTGGGGAGGCAGAGACTGGAGGATCTTAGCCTTGCTGGCCAGCCATTTTAGCTGAATTAGTGAGCTTAGGACCAATGAATGACACAAAGGAGGTGGGCAGCATTCCTGAGAAAGACACCTGAGATTGCCTTGCCTCCACATACACTTGCAAACATGCACATATCCGTGTGTACGCTAAGAAGTAAGACAAAGCAAAAACACTGAAACATACAGCAGAAGAGAGAAAACAGGAAACACAAGG